GACTGACCAAGACAATTCCTGCTCCCGCACACATGGCAGTGGATGATCCATCAACGTAAAGGGTCCACGTCGGGTCTTCAGCCGACATATCTATTGGTGGGGTGAACTCGGCTATGAAATCTGACAACACTTGGGCAATGATAGCAGTCCGCGGTTGATATTCAATGTCAAATTGTCCGAGCTCTATGGCGCACTTAATCATTCTACCCGATGTGTCAGGTCGGTGGAGAATCTGTCGTAAGGGGTACGAGGTGAACACAATAATTGGATGTTCCAGGAAATATTGCCGAAGTGTGCGGGCGGCGGTAATCAAAGCAAAAGCTAGCTTCTCCATGTGTGGGTATCGTAATTCAGCGTCATGCAGAGATTTGCTGACATAGTACACCGAAAATTGTCGTATGAGGACGACGCTAATGGCAATATCACTGACTCAGTAAAAATATAGAGGTTCGTCGGGAGTAGGCTTTTGCAAAGTCGGGGGTCATGAGAGGACTTCTTTAATGTTGTCAAAGGCATTCTGGCATTCAGCAGTCCACTCAAATTGTTTCTTCTTTTTAATTGTGTCAAAGAAAGGTTTACAATGATCAGTTGACTTCAAAATGAATCGATTTAGGGCAGCTAGTCAGCCGGTTAGCGCCTGGACGCCTTTCACAGATGTCGGTGGAGCCAAGTTGAGTATAGCCTGAATTTTTGCCGGGTTGGTTTCAATCCCTCTTTGGCACACCATGTACCCTAAGAACTTTCCTGAGCCGACTCCAACGGTACATTTCTTTGGATTGAGTACCATCGAATACTCGCGGAGAATGTTAAAGACATCGGTGAGGTGGGCGATGTGATCGATTGTTTGTTCCGACTTCACCAACATGTCATCTATGTATACTTCCATCGTGTGCCCAATTAAGTTGGCAAACATTTTATTCACTAACCATTGATATGTGGCCCCGACATTCTTCAGTCCAAAAGTCATCATGACATAGCAATAGAGGCCACGAGCTGAGTAAAATGAAGTGTGTTCAGCGTCATCCGGATGCATGGAGATTTGATTATAGCCAGAGTAGGCATCTAAGGAACTCATTAATTGATGGCCCGAAGTGGTGTCCACCATATAATCGATGTGCGGCACAAGATAGCTATCCTTTGGACATGCCTTATTCAAATCTGAGAAATCAATGCAAAGGTCCACAAGCCATTGCTTTTCTTGACTAGCACAGGGTTTGATATCCAAGTCGGGTACTTCGCTTCCTCGATAAATTTGTTGTCGATAAGCTTGTTTACTTCTTTCTCCAGGGCTTTTTGGCGGTCAAGTCCAAACTTTCGACGATTCTGGATGACAGGTTTAACAATCTTGTCGAGGTTGAGCCGATGACAAGCCTTCTCGGGGTAAATGCCCTTCATGTCTTCATGTTTCCAGGCAAAACACGTCGGGATTCGATCGAAGAAAGTGAATTAGCTGAGAACGCAGAGGCTCTTGGAGATTGGCCCCGATACATAACGGTCTTTCATGGGTTCGTCCACATAGACGGTCTCAACATCTTCAACAGGTTCTGCTTGGATATGTTGACCTTTTTCTTTAAATTGTACCATGGGGTCGATGTCGTCCTGAGCTTGAAAAATCTCTTTGCCGGGTCGTTGTTCCTGAACTCGGCCCTCGCTTGATGTGTCAAAGGATTCTGTAACGCCCCAAAGATTTTTAAAGACAATTCCGGACTTATCCAAAAATCTTGTTTTAAAATTTTCGAAAACCATTTATCGATTTATAAAACATTTGGCGTTACCCGAGAACTTTCCAAAGTTAAACACATAATAAGCATAAGGGAAACGAGAATATTCAACAAAATTCACGTTCCAAGACTAGATTTCACATATCTAGCAATAGGATTGTCAACATAATCAAAACTGATAAAAATATTTCACATGGTTCAACAGTTCAACCAATCCCGAAAGCAATAGGGATGAATAACAAAGTCTGATAATCTCAACATAAATATCAAAGCAAGCGGAAGCAATATAAAGCAATAATGATGTTTGACCACCCACTCGTCTTCAGTCTCGTCATGCCCAACACTTTCTTAACCTGCATCAATGAAGAGCAGGTGGGGATGAGCACAAATATAAACGAGGTGCTCACCACTATGCATAATATATTGGTAAGAAGCCTATACTAGAGTCATATGCAAGTACATGGTCAAAAGACATAACACACCACTCTCCTACTCATCACTATACTCATGTGCACACCTATCAAAAGCCGCCAGGGGTAAGCCCAAACTCGTCAGCGGGAGTACAGTCGTGTCGAGGTTCAACATCAACGGTCACGGCCCATCAACTAGGCTAAAATGAGTCTACCTATCACAAGGTTGGAGATCGCCCACCACTAGGCACCGTCTCATGACTCACACATACATTCATAGAACACAAAGTATAAAAATCTTACCTCAAATATAGCATAGCAAATTTTAGATTAAAACCCACCTGGAATTTGCGGTAGAATATTGCACACGAAAACAAGCACGTAGGTCGAGGGCTCGACTCCTCAAACACCTAAATTTAAGAGAGATAATATATCAATAATATATCTCACTACTTGAATTTAACATAAAACCCATACTTAATAAAAATTAAGTCTTAAGGGTTTTAATCGAATTTTTTCGTGGACTTGGAACTCTCTCATTTTTGACAAATATGACTCGGAGGACAAAATTGAAGTTTCGAGACTTAAAATAATTTTTCCAAAATTTTATTACTTTTAAAGATATTTTTAAAATTGAAATCGGTACGAAAAACGGACTCCGGAACACAAAAATAGGCCAAAAGGCACAAGTGGGCCGAGCTGCCAAGGAAGTAGATAAATTGGGCCACAATTGAAGGGTCTGGCCCAATAATAAGGGCTGAAGTTGACGCGGGCTGGTCACTGGGCTTGCGGGCTGTAGCTGGCGATAGGAAACGGGCTGCGCGCGGGCTGGCATCGGGCCAAGCGGCCCGCGCGCTGGGCTGCTTACAATAAATAAAAAAAATGGATTTTTTTCGCGAGAGCTGTAATCGAACCACTGACCTCCCACAAAAACATGCGCATGGCTCACCACTGCGCCCCTCGCTCAATCATTTATTATTATGCAACTAAAATATAATGTATTTTCAAATTGAGGCCTGTAACTGGGAAATAAGCGTACAGAGCCTGGGGCTATCTATATCACACTACACCAAAAACAGCTAAGTGAAAATAACACCGGGGCTGAAATCGACCACCAAATTTGACGACGAGATACCTAACGGCAACGAGATTCGAGAGTTAATGAAAAATAACATATTTTTAGAGTTCCGAAACATATTTTTAACAATGGTTTGGCTCGAAAATGGAATAACCAAATATAAAAACAAAAAGGACGACCGGGAGTTCGAATGACCCGAACAACCTAATGACGACTCGAAACAACAAAACGAGACTCCGACCTTATGCACATTTCTCACAGTAACACAACGATATTCACGTTTATAAAATCGAGAGTTCCAATCACTTCCGAAAACTCCACGTACGAACGAAATATACATATGAAATTAAATGGACCAAAACAATCCGACTTCAAATCAAGATTCGGTAAACCGAACACATCATATATATAACGTGTGATATATGAAAACGACCGTATTAACGAGAGGATTAGAATAAATTACCCGACTTTGGGAAACTACGAATTATCAAACGGGAAACAGGCCCGACAGCGGGTCGAACAACCGGCTTTGGGACTTTGGACTCGAACGCTTCGGGATACGCAGCTCACGAACGGCCACTGCTCTAGGATCGACGATGAAAGGTCAGCCGCTGTGGAGGTTGTTGGTGACAGCAGAACGCTGCTCGGAGGGCTCACCGGGATTAATGGCGGACGGCGACTGGGAACTCGAAAAAGAATGGTGGATGGAGCCTTCTCGGGGTCAGGGTCGTCGGCTCGAGCTGGGGACTGCCGCTCACGCGTAAGGGAGGCTGGGTGTTCGAGGGACGCCGAAATAAAGAAACTTCCGGCAAGGGTGGGAGGTTCGCCAGAGAAGTTGCAGGTTTACGATCTTTCCTTTTTTTTTTTTAAACAGTTGCGGGAGAGATGAGCACAAAAGAAGAGATTGGAATGTTTGAAAATTTGTTCGGCTCTGATCGATATATGCGAGAGAGAGGGGCGAAGAACATGCAAAGTTTATCACAAAGAAGTCGCAACAGATTTTTGAACGCTGGACTCGATCGCTGCGTGAATAAGGGAGCTGAGGATCTTTCTTCAATTGGGTCAAAGGTAAGATTCTTCAAATGGGTCAAACCAGATTAATCCCAATGGGCTGTAACAACTTCATACAAAATTTGCCAATATCTCAGATTGGATATAGAATCAACCTGAGTGATCTAATCGGCAAACTGGGTCGGAATTATAACTCAAAACTCGATAAGAAAGTGCGACAACACGAACTAAAATAAAACCGGACATTATATATATAATACACACAATAATATTATTTAATAATAAACATTTAGACACATAATAATATTTAGACAATTAATAACATAATAATAATAATAATAATAACAATAATAATAATAATAATAATAATAATAATAATAATAATAATAATAATAATAATAATAATAATCACATTAACAATAACAATAAAGCGGACAATTATTAACAAGGAAAAATAAATAATAACTCCAAAAATCCACAACCGAATGGGGTATTACAGATTCTGACATCATGGGGACGTTGGTTTTAAGGACCGGCTCAATGGCTTCCGACGTTATGGGGACGTCGGCGTTAAGGACCGGAAAGATGTCGGTATTTGGAATAGAAGGAGTTATCACATCGGTACGGGAGGACGTTAAATCCATGATGTTCCCCTGATCACAATCATTGACGTCTTGTGTTTTGTACGCATGCGTACCTCGTGAGGTTAGAGTTAAAGCCAGGTTCCGCGCTTCTCGTTGATCCCCATAATGGGTCCCCTCTCCCTCAATTGTGGGGAACTTTAATGCATAATGAAAAATAGAGATGGCAGCACGAAGCTTATAGAGATCAGTGCGTCCTACAATAGCATTATACTCATTTTGGATATCCATAATCTTGAAAGTTTCCATAATAATCTTCGATTTCGGCCCGAACCCTCCGAACTGAATGGAAAGCTGAATCTCGCCGAGTAGGAAGGAAATACTCCCGTTGAAACCTTGAATTTGATCATTACAGGGACGGATGTCGGCTGGGTCCAAGCCCATCTTCTTGAAAGTTCGGAGCATTAAAATGCTCGAATAGGCCCCAGTGTCAACCATAATCTGATGTACATAATTTCCTCCAATCGGGGCAGTGATGATAAGGGCGTCCAAATGTGGATGAGTGAATAAATTAGCGTCTTCTATATTGAAAGTGATGGGACAATTTCGACTGTTGATAGTCTCTCGAAGATCAACCTTTAATACTTGTTTCCCGGTGTTCTGTGCTTCCCAGGCGTAGGCTTTGGCTTTACGTCGGGAAATGTCGAGCTGTTTAGAATTAGTATTCACCTGAGGTATGAAATCGTAGTGAGGAGGCTTTGGTGAAGCACATGTTCTAGCCTTCTTGCTTTCCACGGTTGAAGTTTCGACGATACCCGAAAAGGTAAAGACTTCCTTGTCGGTTATGTGAATTCTTTTTACATTGGTACCTCGGTCATCATTATCTTCATCATCGGAGATGTCGGCAGGTCTTCCTTTGCGACGGGCATCAAAACTTCTGAACTTTTGAAGTTGGGGTTGTCCAATCAAGCAGAGGAGAGCCGACAGTAAACCAAGACACTCGTCGGTGTTGTGTCCCGGAGACTTATGGTATGCACAATAGCGAGTCTTGTCGAGCTTCTCTTCTGGGGTTCTCACAGGTTTTGGGTCCGGTATATTTCCCTTCCCTTTTAGCTCTTCAAAAATAGTCGCCGCTCCTACTGAATTAATGGTCTGGTAGCCGGTTCTCACGTTGTCGGCGTACTGATCTCGTGCAACTCTAGAATTCAAAATATAATAACCCAACTCTTTGTTAGTAAGAATGATGTATTATCTTTTATCGATTCTGTTCATTTTCAGCGAATACGTTTGACGTTAAGTCGAAAAGTTTATCCGGTTAATTATTAACCGAGTTAATTCGATAATTAATTTTCGGACTGTTTATTTTATAAACGGACATTATTAATCGGGATTAATTATTAAAAGTTACCAATGTTCGGGGCTAAGTTTGAGGTAGAAGTCAAGTAAAGTCTTGGACACATACTTGTTGCACTATGTATGTGCGCATGCACGCGGCGGTACGCGTAGCCGTGCACGCGTACGCACGCAGCGTGCATCCTCGCTGATACGGAAGTGGTCATCAACCCCGGTGAGTCCGATAATGATGATGGCGATGATCTTGATATTTGGTTGGAAAATATGTTGGAGGCGCCATCTAGTCCTATTTACCGGCCATTAAGTATATGAGATTGGCCAAAAGGTTGTGGGCCAAAGCTGAAGTCGATGGTAAGGAAACAAACGACCAAGAGACAGTGCAAAGCAAGGGCCCGAAGAGCAAGCCAGTGTAGGTGCGAACCTTGTGCAAAGAAAAGACAAGCTCAAAGGAAGGAGGCTAAAGGGCGTGGCTTACGATGGGAGAAGAATGGTTGGTGGATACCGGCGGATGATTGTGTGAGGTTGAAAGGGTGGGACCCATGGCCGTCGGGCGAGTGTTCGAAGGGGATCAGCGAGCAACGGGGATCGATCGGCTATGTGGAAGCGAGCACGAGCGGAGAGCGCGCATCGTTCCTTGATGCGCGCGAGATAGGCACGGTCGATGGAGGCAAGCAGATCACGGGCGATTGCGCGAACGTAGGCGGTACGCGAAGGGTTACCGCGGGGCATGGCGAATGCGCTAGTGGCGTGGACGCGTGCAATGGCCAAGTCCTAGTGGGCCTAGGATTGGCGGAAGCGGACGCGCGAGAGAAGGTTGGCAGGGACGAGGCGCGCTACGGGCGCGCGAGTATGGGTGACG